AGATGGCCATATGGCAATGCCGACTATATTATGGTAGGAGTTGTGTGAAATATTTATTGTGCTTCAACTACTTCAGACCTAGATGTGGCCACTGTTTTAGCAGGGAACTCTATGCAGCCCATGGCTCACATTAAGGAGAGGAATCATATGGAAGTTACATGCATTTCTTTGTTAGACTGGTAAACTCTGTTCTGGCTTCCAGATCTAGTTAAAATATCGACTAAAACCAGGCCATAAATACACACAGTTTAGAATAAGGTTTATACAGATCTGACTGAAGAATTTTTAATGAAGAGCTCAACAGGCTTCCAAATGAAATTACCCTCCGAGTGAATGGAAAGAATGTAATACAGAACTGTTTTTCCTGACAGGCTGATGGATAGCAGAATTCAGAATTTTAGAAATATGACCAAGTGAAATGAATGGAATGCAGGGATCACAATTCTTTATCTCTACTCAAAAAAATTACCCAATATGGAAAAACGTGAAAGCATGTTGACTAGGAATATCCTTTCATACTATGATAGGAATATACTCTCAAGGTATTTTATGTAAATAGCAGATAACTTATGATTTCCATATAAATTAGTTTTGCATTTCTACGTGTTAAATTATAAATAACAACAATTAAGTACACATTAATGGATCTTACCAAAATGCTGAAAGGACTATATTCTTTCCTCATCAGAATCAGTACAATTTAAACCATGAATGTCAGTGTGACAAGATTTGACAGTAAATTTAAGGAACATTAAACATAGCTCAAGGGCACCTTTCAAACAGAACAATGTCTCTGAATCAAAGATCAAAGATCCTTCAATTGAAAATATATGTAATTACCTTCGACAAAGTTCGCCTGACATCTTCATGATCCTTCCAAATGGATTTGATCACACAAGCACTGTCAGCACTGTCTATGACTTTCATTACTGTTGACTTCAAGCTCTGATATTCCTTCATCAGATCAATAAGAATGCAGGACTGCTCCTTTCTATAATGTGAAAAGTCTGTGTTAGAAGTTGTTTCTGAGGGAAGGAGAACATGATGTAGTAATACACCATGGGAAAATCAGGATGCAGTGCTAAACATGTTTGAACAGCCAAGGAAATATTAATATTTAGGTTTTACAAATCACTGTGGGTCCATACATCACATCTCACCAAAGAGACAGTGTATGAATTGCCATCTCATCTATATATCAAATATCAAAGCAACTAACTAGAGCAAAAGGAAGACTGAAACTGGAATTCAAGCTTCTCAATTCCTAAGTTTAGCATCTTAGTGACCAGAAACCACACTATAATGATGCTGGCACTCACAGCTCTTTTTTTTTCTTTTTTTTTTTAAACTTTTTGCTTTAACATGGAGTGTGTAGGGGGGTAAAAAGAAGAAGTAGTAAAGGCTGAAGTAATGCAAGATAAGTCTGATGATTTTGTCCTCCAGTTGTCAAATGCATGCTTTTGGATCTAAAACATTATATTCCACTTACCTGTCATTCTATTGAGAACAGAATAACCTGCTGCTAAGAACAGGCATAATTTTTTTCCACTCCCTCTCCAGAAAAGCCTATTTCTGTTCAGACAATGGACAGAAGGAAAAAAACCCGAAACTATTCAATCCAATCCTGCTGTTTATACTGAAGACAGAGAAGGAATACTAATACTTTGGATGTGTTTAGTTGTAGAACAGTGTTTGGCAATTAAAGGAATTTAGGAAACATGACATTGACAAGAGAGAGAGGTAATTGCTTTAGGAGCTTGCTCTACTCTGAATGCTCCAGAGAGCTCTACAAAATAATCAGGTTCAGAAGGGCCTAAAATTGTGTCTATATGAGAGAGAAAAAGTTCAAAATAATTCAATTTAAATCAATAATTGAAACAAAATTAACATTATTTTTATGTTAGAAAGGTATCTCAGTATCTTTCAGTATTAGGTATAAAGATGGCAACAACTACCCCAGTATTTGAACATTGGACAACTCATTGTTGTCAATAATGCCAATAATGCACCTATAAGGTAGGGACAGCTATTTTATGTTTTCTTCACTACCAGGTTGGTACTGTCTAGTTTCTGGCACAGATATGCAGAAATTACTGGGTTTAATATTATTAAGGAATTCCAGAACTAAAAAAAATGTGTTGCAGCAACATGCAACAAGAAATACAAATTAGTAGCAGTGCTGAAGAAAAAGGAGTGATGGACATTTTTAAACAAAGCTATCCTTTTCTTCCACTTACTTCAGTTTTATGCATCTCTGAAAAATGCATTAGAAAACCAGAACGATTTCAGCTGGGAAAAAACACCAGAAATGCAACTCATGTAGCTCTGCACATTTTCAAGAGGGAAATAATACACCGATCTTATTAAGGGCCAGCATATTTAAAAAAACCTGCATGGTGTCAATCAAGAAAATAGACTAACAGTAGAGTATATAAACCAAAGGGAAAAAAAAATCATTTTTCAACATAATTGAATTTTTTTTGTATCGTCATTCCAGTACAGCAACCCAGCATTACATGGGCATCACTAAATTGCATATGCCCATTGAAATATTAGCCAGGCTTAGAACTAGTTTGCTTCTGCACTTAGACAAAATTTATGTGCACTGAGGAGGATGTATGGCATGAATCTTGCACTTGATTTAACCATGCAAATTTAAAAACTTCCATTGATACACAAGACTGTCTTACATCACTGATTATACCCTAATGATTGTTATGAGCTGAGTCCCTTGGGCAGACAGACAGACAAATATAAGAATGATTTAGGACCCTGAATATATAGAGTTGCCAGAAACACATATCCAATAGAGAATGAAAATACATGCTAGAAGGAGAGTATGTGCTAGTTGGAGTGACAGTGAAATCTCAATGGAGATTTCTTATCTTTAAGGAGAGTAAACAATAACATGCAACTAAAAGCCTAGTATATACATAAGCACTATTTTGAGGACCTGTCCATGGCTTTATTAATAGTATCATTACAACCAGTACAAATATCCTGGTTTATGCTATGTTTTATTTTCTACCCAGTATTTAACATACAAGCCTGGTTTTTTTTATTGGGATTCATGTAGCAAGAAGATATTAAATGTAAACTGGGTCTCTCTCCCCCACTAAAAGAACCCCCAGCTTTCTCAGCTTAAGTCCAAGATCTACTTACTTTTCATGTACAACTTTCTTGGTACCCTCCCATAGAGATTCCAAGCGATTTATCTCTTCGTCGATCTCAGGAGCAAGTGTAATATCTTTTTGGGCTATTTGTTTTGCTTTGTCCATGAGCCACTGAAGTTCATGCTGACGAGAATTCAATTCACCATCTAACTGGTTAAAGACCCTCAATCTGCAAGTTAAAAGGCAGGTTTCAAATTCACTTATCTTCACTTCTTTGCAGATTTCTGAGACAAAGATTTTCTTGGCTGTTCTTTCAATATGAAAGATTAGTGGGACTTGCTAAGTGTTCTGCTCATGTTCTCCCTCCATCCAAACAGCTCACCTGCTTAAAAAAATTTATTACATAGATATATGGATTCATATATGCCTGCTAAGAAATACGGTGATCAGGCAAAAGACACACACATCTCCAGTGCATCATAAAAAGTCTAGAGAGCGCGAGCAAATGAAAGAGTGGCAATATCTTAAGCATTATAGCTGGTTTTACCTTTGCTGGAGGGCTTGTAGTGTTGCCTCCTTCAGGCCCTCCCTATCAGCCTTTTCCTCAGTATCTTCAATACTTTTCAATAGCTGTTCTTTGCGTTCCATGAAAGATCTTCGCAAGGCTCCAAGAGCTTCTGCCTCACTCTGTTTGGTTCCCAACAGGTTTTGAACTGCCTCCAGTTCCAAGCACAGGTTATCCACCACAGCTCTGCAGGAAGTCCTCTGCTCAGAAATGCTGTGCTTTAGATGGTACTGGGCCTTAGTAAGGGAACCATCCAAATTGATGGCAACAGATTCCAGCTTGTTAAGGTCTTGAATAACATAATTTAGTTCCTTTTCCAGTAATTCAGATTTAGCTTTATCCATATTTCCTGTTTTCTCCACTGTCTGCCTCAGCTGGTGAAGCACTCCTGATGCAGCACTATGGAGCTCCAGGAATACCCGCAGCTGATCCAGAGCCTCTTGTCTTTGGCAAGTTATTTGACTTGCCTCCTGGAAGATCTGAAAGCAATCTTCAATCTTTCCCTGCAATGTTTTCTGGTCCTCTGGGCAGCTGAAAGAATACAATTTATCTGCATGTTCCTTCAGACTTTGTAAATACTGTTTCTTACTTTTGACTTCAATTGAGTGGTTCTATGGGAAAGAAGAAAAATAGGTCTGGGTTTCTTCTCATCAAAAGCTCAGAACACATTTCAGTACTAACTTATGAACAAAACAAGTACCATTGAGGAGTTTTCAGTAAGAACAGTTCAGTGTTACAATTTTTCTTTAAACTGGTCAAATAACAGAAAACTGTATATGACTGCAACAGTGTATTAGTTTTCAAACAAATAAATGACCTCATGCTAGTTTTAGATGAATATTTACCTAAAGGCACTGTACAATTTCTCTGCCTTTAATATTTACATCCAAAAGTTTACCTTATTGTGAGATGCAGCTAGTTGTTGATCAGCTGTGCTTATCTCTGAAGTGGCTTGTAGTTCAGCAAGAAACTGCTTAATCCAGTCTGAAAACCTGAGCAGGAGCTCATCAAACTCCTCATGCTCAGCAACAAGAGACTGAAGAAAGTTGATCCTATAGGATGGCACATGTAAATATGAAAGCACTTAATGTAAATAAATAATTTACCATAATCAAAACCACAGCTGACTGGACAGTATTAAAATCAATGCCAGGCGGAAGGAAAAAAGGAAACATTAATTTATGCTACAAATGTGATGACTGTTGTGTTGATTTCTTAACTGGGGAATAACATAACACTTGAAAGCACCAGTTTGGCTCTTTCCTGTTTCCACTGTTTTATTCATATCAACTGTTAGAAGTGCCCCAAATAATCAAGGTATGTTCTTCAACTTTTCTTCATGGGGCTAGTTCCAGCAAAGAGAATATTGATGGAAATGAAAAATTCAATTTTCCAACATAACTATTCTGTTTGCCCTATCATCTGCAACATTGCATGTAATGTGAGAGTCTCATTAATTAGGCAAAGGAGTGAGTACCTGAATGCTCAACTTCCACTGAAGTGAGTAAGTCTGTTCAGGAACACAATTCAAAGGACAAATGTGTCCAGAGGAATACTCAGCACCTAGCAGAACTAAGCTTCTAAACCTTGACCTTAAGAAGGGCCTTACTATTCACCTTCTCATTTCCCTTAGAAATTTCTCTACATAATTTGCACAATGAAATGCCATGTAGAAGATCATTATAATGTAAAGGACCTAGAATATGATGTCATTGAAAAGGGTCTATTATTAAAGCTGCTTTACAAATAGTAAAATATATATGTTCATCACCAAAACAACTGAAATCTAAATATATGATAACACACAGTTTCAAAAAAGGAGGCAGTGTTCCTGATCCTAACATAAGCCAGCAGCCTGACAACTGAGCTTTTATAGTATTTATGGCAAATGAAATCTTCCAAGTGGGTTTTAAAATATAATAGTGTGTTTTTGCACAAGATAAGGCATATAACTGAAAAAATGAAGAGCAGATATAGATTTTGGAAGTAACTGAGGAAACACAACGTTATCTTCATTTCCTGCCCCATATTCCTTCAACCAAAACTCCTCTATCAAAAAAATAGGGAGAGATTATGCCAAAAAGAATGCATGAAAAATCTGTTGGATTCCTCACACCCTATTCCTGGGACCTCAGGGTTAAATATGAATCTTAACCCTTTGTTTTCCTAATGGTAATACTGTAAAAACTATGTTTCAGCACTGGGATTCCACATCCAGATATTGGTTACTTTCGTTTAACATGTAAAAAACATACTGAAGCACAAACCTTTTATCAACAGTTTGTGGTAAAGCTTTCCACCTCTCATCCAGCTCTTCAAATTTTTCTTTTATTGCTTTCACGCACTGTTTGGAAGCTGTTGGGAACAGGGACTCATTTAACTGTAACAGGCTTGCATAGACTGCAGCGCGGGACTCAACATCTGCTCGCACATCCTGGGGAAACAATGAAATTTACAGCCTTCAGATTAAATGTGGCATCATATTATCCAAAATAAGAAAAATAATGAAAAAACAGCTAGGGATTTCCAGTAAACCATTTTGAGACAAGTGAATAAGCACAGCCAAATCCCCGGAGGAATCAAGGTCTATTGGGACAAGTAGGTATTTAACACCTCTCGGACAGCTGAATCTGAACTGTAATTCAGTCAGGTTTCATCAAAGATTTTTTTTCTTTCTCCTTTAGGACAATGTGCAAACTTTCCACACAGCTCTACTGTTTGATGAAAGTGTCTAAAATCAAGACTAAGCTTTTCAATGTATAGTGTGTGCAGCAATAGAATTGTGAGGAGATGTCGCAAATTGGCCCAAACAAAAGGCCAAAATTTTCCTTCTCTTCAGTAATATTTAAAACTGAAATTACAGATTCATAGGCTACATGGAGGGCGTAAGAGATGCTACATTGGCCAACTACTTCATATTAATCTAAAAACAAATGGCAAAAATTTCAAGGGAAGGCATACTTTAGGACGAAAGTCTCGTGTTTAAGAAAAAATATTAGAAATCAGATTTCCATTGTGAATTCAAAATCTTTGATCATTTTGGCATGTGAGTGACTTTACTCACATGCAAAAAAAGGAAAGCAACATTGTCTAACAATGGAATTTTTCTAGAGAAAGGATCCTCTGGCAAACAGACCAATGTCCTTCCTTGACAGATAATAGGATATACCAGGGCATTCTTTTTCTTGATCTGGCATGTTGTATTTGCAAATAACATTCTTCCTGTCATTTCCTTGTCTTTGATAAATGACAACAGTGATAACATAATACTTCCCTAGGACATTTCCAAAACCCAGAATCAAGTGACTTTTCAGACTACAACTGAGCAAGTCCATCCTTTAAGACACAGAAACAAACAAGGAAAAGTAGAGGGACAATCTTTCAAGTTCAAACGTACCTTTAGTGACTGCAGTTCACCTTCCAGTTTAACTCTGTCAGCAGAAACATACTGCTCTGAAGGCCTGGCTGTAGCTTCACACCCCTCCAACCAGGTCCAGAAGGCAGACAGCTCCTTCTCCTGCCTAACAAAACCACAGCATAGCATTACCAACTCAAGTTGTCCCCTTGGTCTAACACACTGACCGCAGGAAGGTCTCTGTGCCCATTGTAACAGACGTGCGAGTCTACTCACTTTTGCCACCGAGCCAGGAGAGTCTCTAATAAGGTCTGTTTCTCTTTAGCATTTTCTAGCACCTTTTCATATTTCTTCTGTAATGCTGTAACCTGCTGAGCAGCTTTTTCTTTGCTGGCCACCTTTCGGGCACAGGCTGAGAGAGAGGCCAGAGCGTTGCTCAGTTTTTCCACAGCATGACAAAAGTCCTAATGCATGTAAAAGAAACAGCAGACACATATGTAAACAACAGAACTACGGTAACGATGGTGGGAAAAATCCTGTACTTCTACTCAAAGTCTGAAGCAATGCTACACCCACCAGATCATGAAGTTACTGCATAGTTTACATTTCACTCAGATCTATCCCAGACACGTCCCAACCACATCAATCAACTAGCTTGTAGAAAGGAAAGACTTTCCTAAGAACAGTGTTAAAGAAAAAACATTCAGCAGTAAAAGGGTTAGATATTCTGAATTGGAATGCGACATAGCATGATCATGTAGGACGAAACTCCAAATTCCCTAATATCTGTCTAAGAGTTGCTCTAATTTATACAGATGCAGTAAATACAAAATCTCACTCCAACGTTGGAGGACTGTCATGTCATGACATGGGAGAGGTAGGGAACAGTTACTGTGAACTTCTGTCAGCATTAGCTAACTATTTTTCATAGAAATGGCATCTGATGCTGGCTAGACTTTTCCAACGTTGCCATTTCTAGAGAGCTGGGAAACTTGTTCATATAAGAATGATTAAAATATAGTACAATGAGTTATAAAAGCACAAAATGAAATACATTTAAGATCACTGAAGTTCCAGCTCACAGGTGTGCAATAATAACAGTAGTAATGGTTATAAATACAGTAATGAAAGAAATCATATGTAAGATGAAATGCGAATTATACTGCAACAAGTTCCTGATGTTTAAACTAAACAATAAAAAATAATTTCACATTAAGGCATCGAATCATCATGATTCTGTAGGAAGGACAAGAGTTTACAATAGCATACTTGGCATACCCATAATGTTTAAAAGTCAATAACAATAATGATTACATGTGCTGTCTGAGTAAATTCTCCATATGCACAATATTTTTCCTCAACAAGTATCAACGTTTTTGAAGCAGACAGGCCAGGTCTTCCTTGCATACAGCCTTTGCAAGTAGTTACCACCAGGCTCAGAAGAAATTATATGTATTTTATTACAAGAACAATGTGACTAAATGTTTTTTTCAGTATTTTCTTAAAAAAGAAAGATAATGATGATTGTGGGAAGACACATCACAAACTTATAGACACAGGCAAAAATGCTACAATGAATTCCCTGGAATCTGTGTCTTTTTTGTAGTTTGAATACCAATCCAATGGTTTTCCTTTTGTAATGGACTGAACCAAATCTCCAAACACCCATGGGTTTCTGGTATCACAGATAAAAGATTATCAGTTGAACCTCTGTCCATTTTTGTGGTTTTTTTTTTTAAATCATAGTTCTCTATACCAAGACCCAAGTATCATGAAAATCTTTGATGAAAAATGTCTGACATGTTTCCTATCTTCTATTTTTCATAATGTTTTAGATGCATAAAATTAAAAACAAGAACCTGAAGGATTAATTCATACTTTTAGGCCTTCCTTTCTCTAAAGTGGGGAAAAAAATCTCTCCAAGTTTGTCTGAAATGGTGAGAAGAAATAGGAAGTCTACTGAAGACATCCCTGGGGCTGTCCACCCCAACAGGCAGCCCTTGACTCCTCCTGCCTCGACCCTGGGCTGTGTGGACTGGAGGTTATTGGCATTTCTGTGAGGAGGTCAGTGTGGCACCATTTTCCTGGACTTGGTGGCCAGAATAGCTGGCCACATGCTCACCGTGCAATCCTGAAGGGCTGCATATGTTGCTGTGGCTGAAGAGCATGATGTGAGAGGCTCAGCTAGCTTAGCTTCAAATTCAGACACTTCCTGCTGCACCTAAGAAGAAAAGGCAAATCAGAGAGTCTAAAACCAGCAGGAAATACATAAATGAAGCTTTAAATAACAACTTTTATATATTTAGTGCTAAGAGAAAGTTGTATCCTAAATTTTTGTTGTACTGAGTGCCTTTAGAAGTTGAAAGATGCTAACTCTTCTCAGACCCTTGTGACTGGGGCAATAATAATATTTAAATTATTTTCTTTATGACCTAGTAACAATCCGAGATTGACGCTGAAGTGTTTATAAGAAGTATGGATATGGCTTATTAGTGCAATAGCCAGGAGAATCACTTAAGTGTTCTAAAAGACAGCATAATTATTTGAGTGTACATATTTTAGTATCTTCCTGAACCTGTTTTCTAAGCCATTCAAAGCACAAATTTACATATAGAGATATTGCAATTAACTTACAAATCTACTCATATATTCTAGTTCATCCTATTATAATACGCATTTTATATTCAATTTTGGAAAAATTAAGAGTGATTCTATAAATCATTGCAAACAATCCATTAGATTTTTGTCTACCTGTTTAAGACTTTCTTCATATTTCTGCTGTGCTGATGCATTGTCTGTGATCGTTCCTTCCAGTCTCTGTGCATGATCTCTTAGCTCTTCCCAATATCTTTTGACCTGAATCAGTTTGGCTTTAATATGTGCACATTCTCCAGAGGTAACAAACTGAGAAAAAGACTTGACTTCCTCTTCTAGTTTTGAGATTGCAGATATTTTACCATCTATTTCTTTATTAATAGCCTAAAACATAAAGTAATTGTAAATAAAGAAGCACAATAGGTTTTTAATTATCAGAACAGTATTTTGTATTTCCTTCTTTTACCTGAGCTACTAATATTCTTCATTTAAAAAGCAAATAAGAGGACAGTTCATTGACCACTTGAAATAACTAGTTAGAAAAGTTTTTAATCTACCCTGTAAATCTCCTTTCTCTTCTTGAAATTAGCACTGGAAAAGGTTTAAAAATCTGCCTGCCCTAAAAACATCTGTCTATTAAGAGGAATGCCTGAGGTGCATATTTTCATAAGCAGACAAGACGGTTCATATTTTAACATCTTTACTTCACAGCAAACAATACATGATTTTCTTAAAGATTCAAAAGAAATACAGAAAGAATATAAGTGTATAACTGAAAGCAGTGTTGTAAAATAGCTGAACCCTAACACTTGATTACTTTCGTTAATATGTTTTCAAGCACCTACAAAATAAAACATGCTATCGTTTGAAAAACAATAGAGATTGTTTTCATTTTCTAATTTAAAATTCTATGTTATAATAAAGAATAAATTAAATTAGATTATGAGATAGGGTGAGTATGGCCTTAGGCATTGTATTAAATAAGAAACCACATGACAGTGTAAGTAGGAAATGGTGAAACAAAAGTGATAATGGCCTTTGATATTTTCAGCTGTCTTCTACGTCAATTAACAAATGCATAAAGACAAACTAGCCCTGGTTTTACACTTCATCAGCTGCATGACAGCAACTGTCTCCTATTTTTTTTACACTTCTTTTTGTTGTAAATTAGAGGCAAACATGAAAGCTACAATATCCAAGACAGAAACTTATGGTATTTCACAATCAGTGACTATTTATTCAGTAAGCATCTATGAACTTCGAATTAAGATTTTTTTCACAACAGAATTCTTTTCATTTCTGCTGATGTAGCATGGCCACAGAGCTCTTATCAAAACAATGAGAAACATGAATTGGGAGGGAATTGAAAGAGCCAAGACAGGTCTTTGAAACAAACCATAGCATTCTCAGATATACAAATGCTGATATGTATGTATATGACGTCAACTAAAAACTTCCCCAAAAATGCACTCTCAAAAGCAGAGGAAGTGCCTACTTTCTGCTCAAATTGTGATGAAAATATGGCATCTTGCTTGCCATTATCAAGCTCAGGAGTGGCTTACTGCAACATTCAGAGTCTAGAATTAGCAGGGTGACAGCACAGAAAAAAAAAAAAGTGCTGTAAGCATTTATAGTGTCTCTTTATGTGATACATTCTGAATTAATTTGGATTATAAAATATCTTTTTTGCATGAGAATACGGTGCTGAGGAAAAATACCGGATTTGTGGCCCTGAAACTGAAATTATCTAACAATGCAGCAGATACAAAATGAGGCAGCACTTTTTTACTCCCACGCTATTCTGTTAAATTCACTTAGTTACATAAAAGAAGGTGGATAATTGAGGCCTTCAAACTCTCACTGAGTCTGGCACCAATGGTAACTACTTGTGATAACTGTCATTTTGTCCACCAGGAATTTCAGAGAAATGCGTAGGTGAAAATCTGTCTCTGCTGAAGTCTTTGGGATTTTGCAATCAATGTCATCAAAGGTAGAATATTATCACTATGTATGATAATTACATTCAGCTGACCTCAGGTTTTTTACCTGGTCAGCTAAAGATATCAGGGAACACACCATTTTTTGGGGAGTGTATTTGCCTTATACTGCAATATTCCTTACTATTATGTTGTACAAGAAATTATGAACTAAGTATGCTGATTAGTGTTGTGACACAGACTAACTCATCAGGAAACTCAACACCAAAACGTAACAAATCCTTCAGACCCAGGCACAAAGCAATGCTGCCGAAGAAGACCTCCAGCTGTGTCCACTTGTCAGAGGTTAGATGACTCATTTCAGAAATATCACAGTTCATAAAGCTGGTTTGTTCATTTGAGTTACAATGATGTACTCTTGGCTTTACCTGGAGGACTTTCTCTGCTTTATGTCCGCTCACCCAGACACACATAAAAATCTACCTGCTGACCATTTTCTTTCTGTCATGATATTTGAATGAAGAAGGCTTATGTGGGCAATTTCAAAAACTTGCAATGCAGTGTAAAAATTACTGTTTATCTCCATATATAGCAATGGAACAGCCTTTCTGGGAAATTGGCTGGAATGGACTAGTAGGGTTTAACTAGTCTCCACTTTGACAAGAGCTGCTGTCACACTGTAATGCCATATTCACATCATGTGATGCACTTTCTGTCCTGAACATTCGTATTGTACCTAATAACTACTGAAAATTATGGCTACACGGCAGCAAATACCAGTGGAATAAATGCATATATATTATTTCACAAGGAAAATGCTTTATGAATTGCTGTGGCGATGAAACAAGAATTCAGGCATTTTTTATTCTTTAATGATGAAATCAAGAGATTTTATTTATTTGGTGTAGGCAAAGTTGTGATCAAATTAAGAACAGGAAAATCTGTTGAAAACCTGTTTCTGTCACATGGAATAAGTGCCTTGCTGGGTCCTTTGGAAACAGTCAGTGACAATCTGGTCCAAGAGCGCAAGCAGCTGCACCTGCATGCACATTCTGAAGAGCGTGTAGGTCACAGAACAAATTAAACGTCAGTGAGCACTGCTTAATGAAAAACCCTGTCCCCTTAGAAACATGAGGTTTCAGACAAGGAACGTTTTCGTCTGTGGGAGGATATGAAGTCAGCCCTTGAAATGCAATGACAATATGCACCTCAGGAATAAGAAAGTGAAACTCTGTATCTAGAGGAATGTACACAGAATTTAAGACAGTGTAAATACAGCAGCAATAAATGGCATGTAGGTTTGCAAGCTACCAAGAGCAGTAGTTTCTTTATTATTTCAGCATGAAAGATACATAAATCAAGTTGTTAACTTCAGCTGGCAAGGTTAAAATCAAGTTTTATATCCACTAGCAGATGCATGTTTTAAAATAAAAAAGCTTTATACACCTTGTATTATGTAGCTATTTTGTGTAAATTACTCAAAAAATAACAAGAGTACAAATTAAATAAAATTTTTAACCATACACACAGAGGCTTCATATATGTAAAATAAACACCAACAGAAGACAGCCTGTAAGAATTTCCCTTTAGTTTACGTAACACCTGACTGCTCAGTATATCTGTGTGCTAAGCATGCTATTGTATCATGGGAGTTCTAAATGTGTAAAATGTCTGTTCTCCCATTTGGCCTCTAGGAAAATGACAGATAAATGGACTTTTAATGCTAAACATAACAAGAACTAATCACCTTGATTTTGCTGATCTGTATGTCCAAAGGAGATGAGGATGCTTCCAAAGTTTCCAGTTCTTTTTCTTGTTCAGCTATCCAGATGGACAGGGCTTCAAAATTATTGCCAAACTGATCCCACTTGTTTTTCACCATTTCCATGCTTTTAATACTAAAATTAACCAAATCAATTAGAGAGAATAAACATTTTAAAATAATGAAGCTGCCCATATTCTTGCTAGAATAAAAATATAACTTCAATCTACAGGAGGGTCAGTTTAAAAACTCCTGCTTTTAGAGGACCAAGTTGTACACCTAATTCAAACTTGGTTCTCAGACTGTACCCCAAGTTAAACAATTATATTAGCCATAGTGGGGACACCGAGAGGTAAAACAGAGTAGAGCTACATTCATCAGCTGTACATCAAGAATTTATCATTACAGGAAGAGAAAGGAAAAGTAACATAAATATGATTTATATTAAATAATATGGGATTAGGATTATATCAGATAGCTAAAAATTGAGATAACTGAGTTCGCAGTTGTTAGTCATTTAATGCTAGAAAAGAATGATTAAAACCAATGTATTGTGGATGTACATATATTCACCGATGCTGCTTTATTAAACTTGTTTTTTTTATAACAGCAATCAGCCCATTTTATAGGTAGTTTGTTTCTTCTGAGACAATGATTTCATATCAAGCCAAAAGAATCAACAACAGATATAACTCAAGTATCTCAAAGTTAAGAGATTTATATTCTTTGAAACATACATTATAGTTACGCTAAACAGAGACAGTATGATTGATTCTTGTATATATTGGATATCAAACACAGCACTCTTTTTGTCACAAGTAAGAAGTCTAAGGCCCTTATAAAGTCTAACAGCATTAATTTCTGGTATACAAGTTTCTGCTCCTTTCAAGTCTCTGTAAAGAAACCACAGCTAATGTAGGCCCTACACATGGCTTGCAAGACATGCATTTTCTATTCAATGGAAAATATTAAAATTTCATCAGAAAAGTTTCACTATTACAAAACCCCAAAATACATTTTCCTTTTAAATATAGCCTTAAAAACCATTCCATGTGAAAAAGTTTTTGTTTTATTTTAATTTTTCCTCCCGCATTAAAGGTAGAGGAAACTTTAATAAAAGATAGAGTCTAAAAATATAAAAACTGGCCTTTTTTTTTTTTTCACAAATGAAAAATGTCAAGAATGTCAACAGCCATTTACTGGTAAGAATGTATTCAAATTCAAGTTATTTGCAGGAAAATAAAGTGCAAAAATATTTCACTCCAAGTCCAGCCCAAGAAAATACTGCTGGAAATCAGAATCAAGGGACCAAATCAGTGGCACAACAGCTGAAAAGACTTTGCCTTTGTATCTGCCTTCCTTAGGGTTGTAAGAAAGCCACAGGCTGTAAAGAATATAGTCCCAAATACACAACACAGCTACACATGATCTCCTTGGAAAACAGATGTGCTAAGTTTGCTCTGTTACTATGGGAGCTGCTCAAATTTTTCCTCTCCTTTCCTGTATATTGGCATAGCAATGCAACATATGTATTTGGTACACCTTCACTTTAAATTACTCGGCCAAGACTTTTACTGATGATGTGAGTTACAACATAAGTCTTACACATTGATCATATGTTCCGTAGATTCACTATTGAGTTATATATATTTTTATGTTTTACAGAAGGGATTTATTTTTTTATTATCTGTCACAGTACCACAGACATTCTGTACAATCCATAAATGCAACTCAAACCCATTTTGTATCTACACTGAAAGGGTGTATCAATGATGGCTTTCATTTAAAAATAGATCACATTATTAAAAAAGTGAATATTCATTGTTGAAAGGATAAATTTCTTGAATTGAAAAATCACACTAGGTTTCCCTCTAATATTGGAGAAAATGATGTATTAAGAGAAGTATTCAGTAAGATATGGTGGAACTTGGCTGCAAATCACTGTAATACTTCATTTTGGAGAAAGTGTTACATAAAAACTATAGACCACCAAAAATCAGAAATTTACATCTACTGCAGAGGCTAGTTATTCTGTTTTACAGCTACTCTTTTACAGCAGAAAGAAAATGGCACCAAATTAAAGTCAGATTAGCATGATAATCGTCAATATCAGGTTGTGGTACCTGCTCAAACTTATACAGCAAATTATCCTACATAGTAATTCAATTCAGACAAAATAGAATTGGCACATATACCCATGACTTGTGTATCAGATCCAATATATGCAAAACCACTAATTCCATACACACATATAAATATATGTGTATATAGATAGAATGAGAATAGCAACAGCTGATGTTGAAGTTGAATAACTTGAGTTCAATAACTGAGTTATACACTTGAGAGAAAGGATGAAATTTTTACAAATTCAAAAAGCTACAGATATTTACAGGATTTAACAATATTTTCTTGGAGTTTGAACTTTCAGTTTTTAAAGAAAGTTTGGCAAATGATGCCTTTGTTATTTGCTGCAGCTGCGCAGCTTTTGATACTGCCCATGAAATAAAACCTGGGCATTTTGCTAAGATGAAGGCACTTCTTGACATTCCTATGGAGAGAGGGGAATACTAGAAACTGAAGCAAATATGGTAAATCTGCTGTTCTCATACTTGCACTGAGATTTTTCTTTCTAAAAGAGTCTAGTACCACAAGAATGAGTTTAACTATTCCTTCTTCACAATACTGGGGCTTGTGAATAACTGTGTTATTATTAAACAAGGATTTTATTTGCGCACACTCTTTTGACATATTTGGTACTGTAACCTGATTTCTATGCCACAGCAAGCTGTAAATGATGCAGCTGATGAGACAACACAAAATGCTGACAAGCTATTCTAGAAATCTGATACAATCTTATAGTGGAGAAAAAATATTACGACTTGTTAAGAACATACTCTTCTTCAAGAGTAACTTCCACTTTTTTCACTTGTTCTTGGATTGATTTTGCCTGCTGTTGAAGGGACTGCTTGTTCTTTGAACCAAGCTGTATCTCAGAAGATTTCTTCACCAAATTCTCAGCCTGCACTGCTATTGCTTCAGACTGTTTAGAAAGTTCCTGTAAGAATGCAAGACACATTAATACAATGATAAAGATTTTAATGTATTACACAGAAAGTATTTTTCCTCAAGTTTGTGATTAGAAAAAGTATGTGTCCCATACGTATATTTTGAATGTATAAATATATAAAAATAAACTCTAAAGAAAGTTGGCTTTATGTTGCATTTAAGAAATGTTCATTTGAGCAAACTACCTTGAATAAAATTTAGCAAGGGAGACTCTACATCCATAGGTTTTTAAGTCAACCAATCAAAATTTATTCTATAACTCTTCAAGAAATTTATTTGTGAATTGTCGAAGATGTTATGGATCTTTAGATCTTACCCTTTATAGAAAGTATTTTGCAGTATCCTGTAGCTTGTAAACTCACTTAGTTTAAGACCTATTTTCTGTTACAAATGGTACACCAGAATAGTGGATACTGAGCATAGCCAAGAAATGTATAATTTAGTATCATCTGATTCATCAAAGGATAAAAACATTGTGCAAAGCATGGCACTTAGGGAAGCCATCATTACTATTACTTCTGTATTACTAAATAAAAGGAACTGGGATAATTCTGTGCTACTAAGGACAAGCGGCACATTCCAGCTTATGTCTGTATTGTAGAAGTCTCTCCTTTTTCTCCTCAGGGCTAAAAGTGCTAGTTGGCACAGTCCGTATAACCTTGCCAAAGAGCAAACTATTGATGTTGATATGCCAGTGCTCAACATTGTTTAGCTTACTAGAATAGATCATTACTGAGCATGGAATGGGAAGTCCTCCAAATCGTTTTACCTTCCACACGTGTTTCAGATGCAGATTTAGAGAAATTCTTCATGATCTTTTGTAAAATAACTTTTGACCTCTAAACACTTTATGCAGTCTGATCTGTATATGCAGTTTGCACCAGAATTAACCATGCAAAGGCTGAAGGCAATAAGCTCAGTATGTGTTAACAAGCAAGGCAGAGAGATATCTCAGTTCTTGTATTCCACAGTGAATACCTTTGTCTGATCCAGTTCTGACGAGAGGCTCTCTAAACTGCTGAAGTTTAAGATACGTTCAAGTGCAGAGCTTGCTTGATTGAGATATTTTACCACTGTTTCTTTGTCCCTTTCAAACTGCTCCCATTTATTTACTGTGACCTACAAAAACAAACAACCCAAAACAGGAACACAAAGACAAAAAGATCAAAGAGGGGAGAAGTACAATTTCGTAAGTTACTGAAGAAGGAAATAAAGAGAAAGACCTGACATAAAATTTCAGGTTCTCCTGAAATGCCGTCTACTCTACAGATAAAACTGTTCTGAGCCCAATTAAAGTTTTCCCTTGAATTTTCACTGATTCATACTGCACTGTTCAAAAATGCACCGTTCCCTAAGGTCACAGCAATATTTAAATCTTATATTTGAATGCTCTATAAGAATTCCAAAGTAATAAATGCAGATGCTTATGTTGACAGGTAGTCAGCAATACCTAAAAGGATTTTCAAGTTCTCTAATGAAATAAATTACAGTAAAACAGTAGAAAAATATCCCTGCTCATTGGAAACTCACACATAGGAACCTTTATGTTCTTTTCTGATAATGTAAGATTTTGATTAATCTACAGCATTTACCTAAAAGTCACAAGAATTATGACAGTATAAACAATTATTTTCTTGATTCTGAAGTAAAGCAAGGCCTGAGTTAATACTCTGTGTATGGGATTTCTTAGAAAATTAGTTTAAATAATAAATTCTTACATTAAGAAGTTATTTGAGCTCTATCAATCATGTTTTTTATCTTGTGTTTTATCACAGGAAATAATTTTGATGACTTTAAACATTTGTGTGAAACAGTGGACAGCTGGATTACCATTCTGCTTAGAGAAATGTAAAGGACATTTCAGATAAGGGCACAAGAAGGTATAAAGTCTAACACAAGTTCAGTTGGGTGATTAGTTATACAACCTGGAGCAATCCATTTGGTTTCTCTGTGACTTTTTTCTTCCTTCTTTACAGTTAGGCTGACAGCATGTATTTCCCACAGTAATTATGAGGATTATATTTGCTCAGCATCAGGTGTTATTAGTCTAATAGCCAGCCTAAAGACTCTCAAGGGACAGCCATCTTTATTAACCAGGGGAGATAGCACATCTAAAAATTAATTCACAGGTAAATTATTTTAAATATCTATTATGACGAATATTGGGGACTTTTAAACACTTTCAAACAAAATGTTCTTTATTAATAAAGAAGCATCCAGCAGCTTCAAGAAGTTTTCATGGAGGTACTGAACATAAAAACCCCAAGGCCCAAGATTCAGAGGTGAGAATGTGAGCTCAGACTATTTACATTAAAAAAATCAGTTCCTTACTAATTTAAAATATATAATTAAATAAATTAAACTTCTACTTGCCTGCTTGTAAAGGACTCACCTGCAGTTGCTCTTCACGTTTCTCCATAGTCTGCTGCATGTTCTCCAATGTTCCTTCCAACTTTTGTAAATCCTCTTGCATCGTGCTGGGCAGTCCACCTTCCATGTGCAACTGTTTAGCTTGGGAAATCTGATGTTGCACATCTTGCCTCTTTGCTCGGAGTCTCCTTGTCCTTTGCTAAAAGGATTCACCCAACAGGAATGATTAGACTTTTTAGCTCCTTTGGGAAACTGTCACAATGAAACCACTTTGTGCCTTTGCAAGGGTGTGCTATGAGAATAATAGACAAAGGGATAAACTGTGACAAGTATTCTTGAGTGTTTCATATGGTCATCAAGTATATGCCTTGGGTTCCAAAATGTGTATACAGATTTTTGAGTGACAGTATGGCCATTTATCCAAAGCAATATTTTATAAAGCAAAAGCCCCAACAGCTGAGCAACTGGAGCAGCAGCCACAGGTGCATGTATTCCTCACGAGTGCCTGGAAGCATCCAGGTCTGCTCTGCACACTTTGAAGCATAGATCTGAGCCTCAGATTGTGAAAGTAATCTATGAGTCTTCATTAGAGAGCAGTAGGGGGACGGCCAAGTTGCGTAACTCTGTCTGGTGCTTTTTACTTTGTAGCACTATCAGAAACTCCTAAGACTACCTCCACTCCCCTTTCCTAACATGCCTGACCTATTGCTGCTCCTGCTAGGTAAGCTCACAGCTCCCTGCTCAATTCTATTCTGGGTACTTTCAGGTCTTTGTCAAAGTTGGTTTTACCTTAACAGACTCCATATGAAAAGGAGGAGGATCTAAGAACTAAGGGAGAAGTTGACTATTCCTACTACGTCTCCTATGATGGACAAGAAATGTGGAGTATTGAAAGAACAAATATGAACCTTAGCACATACAATAGCTTTTACAAACACCAAAGAGTTTAGATAAGAGAGGTAAGACATAGTAGTGCCTGGTCAGGCAAAAAGACATGCCTGACCTTATAGAAACAGATGTTAATATAAAACACTTACATAATGCTCAAACACTGACAGTAAATTATTCTTACTAGCTTTGAACAGGCCTCAAAGTTAAAATTTCCAATATTTGTCATTAAAATCCATGTTTTGTGCTGTATGCAACCCATACAATTTATAATTAACTACTGATGTTTTGATCTATTACCGGTGCATAAAAAGCCTCCTGTTCTACTCCCACAGACTGGAGGCCAATCTGTCCCTGCAGTAGCTACCTAGAGGTGGAGATAACACCTAGATATACACCTCCCCTCCAGTATTCAGAGTTGTGGCCACAGAAAGCTGCTGAAGTTGAAAAATTTCCAAAACCAAGATCAGGCCAAATTGACCATGATCAAATCTGACACACAAACTTTAAAAGGTAAAAAGAGAGAGACTACATATTTGCAGAGTACACACCTAAAATTTCAAGCAAATGGAACCCAATTTTTAGGTATTCTATGCCAAAAACACCCAGGTGAAATAAAAGGATATTCAGTAAAAGTTGAAAAGCAAGTTCATATTTGGGCATTAACATTTAAAAAATACTGACTACTTCTTTCATTATAAGAAATCAATACTAGGCCATATGAGACCATTTCCTTTATAACTCTTTCAAGTTTAAATATAAAGAGTTATGCTAATGGACATAAAATTTAGTAACTACATACTTTCTACCTTACAAAAAAAAAAAATTGAATACAGACATGAGTAATTGCTCTACCTGATGATGAAGTAGTAGTTGCTGAGCTTGTAATAAACTTTCCGTATCCAGGATCTTTTCAGCCTCTGCTTGGGCTTCTTTAGAGTTGTTGATTAAGTCTTCAATTGCACTCTTAACTTCTTCTTTGTACTGGACACAGTCTCCAACAGTGCCTAATGTCTTTTCAATCTACAATTATGGATAGCTTTTAAGTATTTCATGTCAAAAGGCACATTATATTTTAAGGGCATATTTATATATTTTTTCAAAAAATACAGTAAATTTTCTAAATTCAAACCATTTTCATCTCCAGAATTCTTAACAGACACATTTAACTTTAGACAGAAAGAGTGACTGTAGGCTTAAAATGCGACCAAGGAGACCTTTCTCTTGTTTAGACATACTCCCACTTAAACTGCCATATGATAAATACCTGTCTGTGACAGCCACTTATTAGTGATCACTTGGAAAATACAGGCTGTCCTCACCCTTCTGAGCTGACCCACATCCTGAAACACTTGTGCTACTCAACTCAAAAAATCTTGCTGCCTTTTGGACCTGCTGGAGCAATGCCCTAGTGAACAACATATATTAAAAAGCCCTGTTACCCTGGTTTAATGGACCACAATATACATATGGTGTAACTTCCAGTCTCACTTTGCAGAATATCATAAAGATATATCTATTCAACATATCAGAAAATTCTTCTCTCTTTAGCATGATTCAGCTGATACTGTAGCTTCATAGTTCATACTTGTAGCTGATTCTCAGCACAGGCTCTGTTTTTCAACCAGCTCCTATGTTTTAAGGTTTTAATCATGAAGTATTCTAGAACTAAGAAACTCCTCTCTTTTCTTCTTCCCTTCCTTCCTTTCTTTACAAGCAATATTAACTTTGGAGGGGCATTCAGATTTAAGCCTTCTCTTTCCTGTTATATAAATGTTTAGTCTTTATGTTCCAGAAAAAATGCTGAACTCTGGAAATACCCAGTATCAGGCCTTGTCTAAAATGCCTCAACCATCTGATCAACAGGCTGTAAATTTAGCTGTAAAAAGTATTCAAACCCGGAGAATCAGCAGTCTTTTAACCACAGTATAAACTACTGCTAGATTATGCTTTTAAACATAATTCATGATTCAAAACAAGTTTAGACTCTAGCTCTTAATTTCTTTTTTTTTTTTTTGAGGAAACAAAAAGCAAAAGTACTTTAATACTAAATAAATATATAAATAGCTATTTTTATTGTCTTCAATTTTTTGCCATCACTTGGAAATCAGAACATTGGTTCCTCCAACTTTCCAAACACAGTTCTTATACCACAGAAGTTTAGAGGAGTTTCAATAAATACACAGAACTTTTACACATTTGGAACACCTGCAAGGCCTCCACAAGAATTGACATTAACAACAGAATTTGAAGCCTGAACCGTTTCGCTATCCTGAACTTTTTTTTCAAATGGATCTGTTCTACCCTCCAAGTGTAAGATGTTCTAAGTTTCTCCTGATCTTTCTTTTTACTGTGAAAACTGTGAAGCAATAAGTTGCCTGTGATCCTGAGCACAAGTCCTGTGAGGATAAGCTGAAGGAGATGGGGTTGTTTAGCCTGGGGAAGAGGAGACTCAGGAGAGACCTTAACACTCTCTACAACTACCTACCTTGCTACAACCTCTTTTCAGGTGTCTGTCTCTTCAGCCAAGTAACAAGAGATAAGGCAAGAGGAAATGGCCTCAAGTTATGCCAGGGGAGATGTAGACTGGATATCAGAAACAATTTAATCACTAAAAGGTTTATCAGGCACTAGAACAGGCTCCACAGGCAGGTGGTTGAGTCACCATCGCTGAAGGTATTTAAGAGACATGTGATTGAGGACCTGAAGGGACATGGTTTAGTAGTGATATTAACAGTGCTAGGTGGGACTTGATGGTCTTAAAGGTCTTTTCCAACCTCGAAGTGCGTGATAGGCATACTTAATGATCTGAAACTACCTTACATTAATTCCTTTATTATTAAAGCATAAAAGATACATAACTGAAGATTAAAGTCAAGTTCCATATCCACTACCTGATGTACATCACGGTTTTGCCAATGTTCACTAAGAGCTGATTTTAGAAAACTATGATTTGCCTTTAAACATACTGAGATTTTGAACACCAAACAGAAACAGTTACTATGATGCTTTCCAATCCTGAAAAAGGGAAAAGATCCATTATAATAATGTCAGTAGTTTTTGCCTGCTACTCTAAAGGCTTTGATACCCAATAAATATGAATGGGGCTTTCGTTGCTGAATGCTTGCAGTTTAATTAAAAAAACACAGCAGGGAACTTATGCTTGTAAAGACATGACTGATGTCTTTTCATGTGACACTGTAAATGAAGAGTTCTTGTGTCCTTCTTACTGTACCTCAGCCAGCAAATCTAGGAGTCCCCTGAAGTCACTGGAAAGTTTACAAAGTTCCTCCTCTGTCTTTTTGGCCTCCAAATCAGGACATATAGTGGTCAACACAGCAACTCTAGATTTCAGCCAGCTGTGATTTTCTCCTTGCTTGTTAATATGCTTCCTAATTTCCTATGAAGGAATTAAAATATAATAATGAGGGACATTCATGACATTAGTTCAAAGATTAGTAGTGTAAACATACTACCTTGATTCTTATTTTGAAACACAGGAAAAGTAGCATTTTTCTATTTGCATACCCTATCTGATTCTGTTTCAGTTAACATAGATTTCTGCATTTCCTCCACAGACCTTACTCCACTACTATTTATTAGACTGTTCTTTAATAAGTAGTAGTGGAGTATGTTTTCCTCACAAATTAACATTTTTACCTACAGATAGCTACATGTATGTATTTTCCATATATTCACAAATTTCTTAGTTACTACTTAAATCTTAAATGCTGACTTTCCCAAACATAAAATTTCATGTGATATAAGGGTTTGTGATTTGTTGCGGGGTTGTGGTTTGGGGTTTTTTTTCCTATTTTAATAGCTCTTTTTTTCCATCTTTTCACCCAGTAGTTCATTCACGTCTTTGTGCCAGTGCTGATGTGAAGTTGCCAGCAGTGAAACTGCATGAGTAAATCAGATGTTTTGGAGCAGAAGCACCCATTAAACTAAAGGTCTAACTGCTTTTTAAAGGTCATCCTAATTTTGTTTCTCTGCACGGTTAGCCTCATAACCTGCTCATGACTTTCACACAAACTCATACAGTATGTGACATTCCTATTTTTGCTCCTAGTATGTGGGGGGAAAAAAAAAAAAAGGGGCAAGGTAGGTTGCAAGTGATTATTGCCTAAAACTAATTTAGCCAAACAACTCTGTTCTACCACTTCTGTTTCCAGTCACCAATGCGAAAGTGAGTAGTAAAGTTTCCTTGCCTCTTGTGATATACTATCATAAAAGAGAATTTTTATTATAGAAGTTATCCCTAAACGTAAGATAGCAACTTGATCCTTCAAAAACCCCCAGTACACAAATTTTGGCTTTTCTTCGCACTGCACTTTTAACTCTGCATACAGCAGGATGAGCAGCAAGTATATATTCTCTCTGATTCTGTATTTTGGATGTTCTGAATACACAGCTAAAGAAACCTGCCATTTTCTAAATTATTACAAGTAGGAGCTTCTGCCATACTTTGCTGCATGTAGAACATTCTCATGGAAGTGTTTTTATGAATACCAGGAATCAGCAGAGCTACTGTGGACTCCATAGTAAAACAGTCGCACTTTTCCAGAATATACTTTTATCCAGAGCCCCAGTAGCAATGACAGCTTTGTTAGAATATAAGCCAAGGGCTCACCCCCACAGATGCTTTACATTGCTTGTATTTGGCAGTATCATGGACACTTTCCTTTATCTTCTTTAGCTCTCTTTCTGTTAATAAAATCCAATTTGCCATCTCAGAAAATCTGAAATAAAACATAACAGAATGCAAAGCAAGGAAAAAGGTTAGACAAAAATGGCCACCACAAAATGGTAACCTTTTAAATTCAAGCCCAAAATTATAAATTCCAGTCAAAACTCCAATAGTTCATGGAATTGCTACATAAAATATAGCTTTCCAGTTGAAGCTAAACGACACAGTATCGTATCATTTTTTATGTGTTAGTGAACACATTTATGTGTTAGTGACAACATTTAGAGGAGTGATGACACAAAAAGCTCTATGAGCCCCAGCTATCAATTGAGCTGCTACCTGTTCCTGTAGCCCTTCCAGGTGTTCGAGTGTTCTGTTAGCTTTACATATGTGCTGTCTATCTGGGATTTGAGCTCCTTTAGGATTCGTTGGCTGCTTTCCAACGTAGCCCTCACTGGATCAGAAACTGGCAGTTTTTGGCACAGTTCTTCAATCCGTTGCAGCCTTTTCTCACACAGATGGTAAGATCCCTTGTCACCAAAAAACAACTGATGGCAGACAAAACAAGAAATGCAAATAAAAATAAAAATTGACCAAAATCACAAAGCCTATCTAAATATTTTTTTATAAACTGTACTAAGCTCAAATCAAAATTTTTGTTAAGGACCTCAAGGGTTGATCTATAATACAGTTGTGTACAGACTGTTTGGTGGCTTAATAGTTGTGCAGACCTTCTGTTTATTATTGACAATGAAATGCATTTCTGTAAATGCCCACGTGGTGGCATATAATTTGTACCATGTGTTCCTCGATCATTCTTTCATTTCCTTCTCTTGATAACACCTTGTTCTGTCGAGCAAGTTCAGCTTTGCACTCCTCCACTGTGACCAGGAACTTGCTTTTCTGTACGTCAATCTTCAAGTGGATCAAATGATATGGGGCTTCTGTTTGAAGATCCTACACACCCACAGGGGCAATAAACAAGTACAGAGATAAAAGACTACTTCCATTACCTCAGTATGAAGTTACTACAAATAAATTATCTAAAAATGCTGATTTAGTAAATAAATCATATATATACATGAACAGATAGAGGCTTCTCCTTATTCATTTTAGTAAATAAAGCAACCCTTTTACCTATATCTCTTAGATATATCATAAGATCATAAGTTTTTCTGAACCAGAATATGTATGTATAAGGCACATCACAGAGAGATCTTGATTCTTGGCAAGATACACCAAATATTTCCTGTGTAAAATAATAAAACAAACAATAATAGGGAAACTACATTCACAACTCCTTCCAAAGGTTCCTGTTTGTGTGCTAGTGAGAAACCACCCATCCATCATGGCAGCTTTGACCTGAAACATGCTGTAGAACGCAAAGAATTCCATAGCTTATGAGCAATGTTTGTTCAGTTGTTAGAGCCTTAGACAGAAGACACAATTTAAACTGACAGCCTGACCTCTTACAAATGTGTTTTATTAAGGTTGGGAAAGTAACTGCAACCATCCAGCATTAGCATAGCTTAAGAAAAGCTAGCACCCATTCTCAACAAACATTCTTAACACAGGTATCATTATGGCTGTATGTAGGTGGAGAAATTAAGGTTTCATAATTAATTTCTCACCTTTCTGAATTTTTGATCACTTAACAGATCTTTTTAAAAAAGGTATTTATAGGTGTAACTGTATATAATGCTGTAAAATAATTTTTTTCCAATTGTACAGGAGGCCAAATAATACATTTTTGTTTAATTTTAAATTTTTTCAACATATCGGTCATGCAGAAACATTCCAACATTAAAACAATCTCCAGAGACAACATTCAGTTTTACTAACCTTCCACTGCCTATGGAGTTTTCTCACAGCTTCCTGCAGGTTGTGTTGCTCTTGTTCTGGGAGGATGTCAGTAAGTTCATCACACGCTTTCAGAAAGGCATTTAGGACTCTCTGATCCAGCTGGTTAAAGAATTCCTGAGGTTTAGGTGGAAAGTGAGAAGAAAAAGCTGGTTATTGATATGGTAACCTGCCAACATGAAGTTCCCTAATGTGTTGTGTAAGTTTACAAGGTTACTTCTGCTGCATTGAAGAACTGAAGTTTGAGCTATTTCTAGCTGTTTAAAGTCCAGCAAATTTATTTATTCTCAGCCAATACACTGAGATGGTATTTTAACAAGAACACATTTTAAAGCTACATGCATAAGTAATGGTTATAATACAGACACAAACATTGATCTGAAAAAGCAGTGATTACGTGAGACTGGCAAAATACAGTGCCCTCACTCCCAATCATTTTACTGGCAAAACCAACCCTAATTGCTGGGCCGTCTTTTGTCTTCACCTTCTGGTTGCTTACATGTATCAAGAAGAGGGTGATCTCTTTTTTCCTTTTTGGTTTTCAATCTTAACATTAATTTGACCTGATCTGTCAATTTCTGCATATGAAAGCAATCCACATCAATTTTAAAATTAAGTAGGCTTTCCACTTGTATGTCATGTACTCAAAGATTTCCATGAAGAACATCAGAGCATTTACTCACGCTATGTTTCCTGAGAAGTTCTTCAGGATTTCCTTTTTCTTTTAAGCAACAATTGGCAATCTGTATAACTTTCTCCAGTTCTGCTCTAGACTCCTCAAATTTCTTCATCAGTCGGCTATTTGCTTCTATGTTTTTTCTCCAGTCACCAGCTTTCCTGACCATATTCTGAATTGTAAAGAAAGAAAACGATATGGCACTTTCTAAGTGATTTTTATTTACTCTCTTTTAACAAACAGTCTTACAAAAAATGCATTTGATTGGTGTCACTCTTTCAAATATAAGCCGTTCACCAGTGTTTCTCCCTTTCATCCCACCATTTTCCCAATTTTTAGTACTTATACTAAGGACCGTACTTCATTCAAATAACAATGGCTAGCTAGCTAATACAGATGTCTCTGATAACTTCAGAATGCCTCTGCCATTTGGACAGTATCTCTTTCCTCAAGCCTGCTTTGAAATGTAAAGCACCTGGTATGGCTAAAGGCTAGCCATTCCATTTTTCCTAGTAGCAGACTAACTCCTCCTCCATGACTCTACATGAAGGAAGTTTGAGTTATGTATTCAACCAGTTCCATGACATGCCTTCTGACCTGGAGGAGGTTCATATGATTACCATCATACTAATAGGCCAGATAAGCGACGAGGTAGAAAGCCACTTAAAAGGCAGCAAATTTTATTGTTTAGTTGCTAGTTTGAAATCCTCTTGTTTTGAAATCTCAGTCATGGCTCTTTATTATTTTGCTTTGTAGCCTGTCCCAGTGCACTGCACTATCCAGTGGTTACAATTCCACAATCAAGTAACAAAATTTGCCAGGAGAAATTAACAGTTCACCAGTTCAATTGCAGCAAGGTAATTCCAACAGTTTACTAACCATTCTCACTGATTACAATCCCCAGTGCAGGGAATTGTACTGATTTTACCCAGTGAGCTAAACCTGTAGTTCTCAACCTAAGTATTTTGCTAAGCATTTTTAAAGTTTCCTGATAAAAATTTGTGTATAACAGTAGAATCATACAGGATTGCATTCTTTACATGAGAAAATGCCAGTTTCCAGATGCATAAATATTTTAACTTTGGATGTGTCACATTTTGTATGGTTATGCCATGTTTTATAGGTTTATTTTCTAACACAAAAAGAGATAAATCACCACCTATCTTTATAGAAACAGAGTAATTAAAGTTCAACATGGTAGATCTACCAAGGTACAACTGTATCTGTTTCTATTACTTCTAAGATAAGACTACATGATGATTTCTAAATTGTAAATTGGAACCCAATGATCTTTAAGTATAACCCACAGAACACAATATAAATTTTGAAATACACCTCTCAGAGACAGCTCTTTACTGACTAGTGATTTTCTAGAGCTTAAAATTCAGTTTAGATATCTCTATACTGAAAAAAAATTGCCTGAAATCAAAGCTAATAGAAGACATCTGGAGAACTGACTCCAAGATACTGGTTTATTTCATATTAGAGGGGGGCTAGACTGGGGTGGAATAGCCCCAAAATATCCATATGGCTAATAACATAGAGGTAAGGGGATTGTAGCCTAAAGTACACAACTTTACATTAACAAGTGCAAATACAGATCTCCAACATTCTATATTCACAATCTACTGAATTTTCTGTGGAAATACAAAGCCCAGCAATAGGTATTTGCAAAAATTTCCATCTTCCATGCTTTGTGTGAAAGGGGATGTATGGGAATATGGAAGTATTTGCTAACCAGCCAAGATAATATAGTCAGGAGAAACAAAAAACAGTGCAGCCCTAACAGGTGGATTTCAGGCTCCTCGTTCCAAAGAAGTCTGAGACATGTGAAAGCTCTCCCTAAACCCTGGGTTCCTCTGAGGCAGGCTCACCTCTGAATTACTGCATGGAGGACATGACTGTCAGTCCCCTGACCAATGATTACCTAATACAGACAAATCTGTAATTAAAAACTTGACACCAGAGAGGAGAGCTCTCTATGACAGTAGCTACATGACGATGAAATGGAGATACGGTAGGATGAAGCAGTTGCATATGAACAAGCTTTCAAAAATACGCACCAAGGTATGGCATAATTACCTGGAAAGTAATCTGAACTTGTGTAACTTTCTTCTGAAATGTTGACTGTTGGAAATGCCGTAACACTTCAGTTGAAGCCACACACTGCAGAATACTTTGACTATTTCTCTCAATCAGGGACAAATCTTTCTTGCAGTTTTCTTGATAAGCTACCAAATCCTGAAAGAAAAAAACATATATCCACCCTGGCCAGGAACAAAGGAGAGAAAAGTTTGGCAAAGTAACAGGAAGATATTTTCTGACAATAAGAACAAAAGGGACAAGGTCAAAGCACCACCACAAACAGACTATACAAAATGTTATATGGAATAAGACAGACCACACAACTTTCTCCTTGTATGCAGAGTTCTGCACCCAAACAGAACTCTAGCTATCTATTAAGAAAGACACAGACATGTATCCAAGTCTTTTGTGTAGTGTTAGAGAATTCAGGTCAATACATTATTCCGTGATTTAATTTTACAGGATATTTACTGTAGAGTTGTAATTAGGCAGCAGTGGGAAAAAAAAAAAACAACTGAGTGACAACTCAGTAGCAAGCTTTTCAACAAGCAAGAAAGATGCCTTTCATATCAGCTGTTGGAATTCAGATTTTCTTACAAATGGCATTAAGTAATGAGAATTATACTAAAAAAAAAAAAAAAGAGGGAGACTGGATAAGAAAACATGCATCAAGTTGAACAGGCTAAAAAAAACGGTTTAAAAAAATCCTATGGTGAGGAAAGGGTTCTGCTATTGACAGAACACTGTGTCTTCAGGATAAATCTCTGTTTACTCTCTGATCAGCAGAAACCAGCGCCCTCTATATAACTGAGGAGATTTTGGTTCCTTCATTGGCAAATAACTGGAGAAGAAACATGTCTTTTTATTGTGACATTCTGGGGCAGGTTAACCTTCAGAAGCAGAGGAAAGGAGCACTGTTATGAGCTGCTTCTTCATGACTCAGCTGGTGTTCATAAACAGCAGAGGCTTTACTCAGGAAGACAATTGGACTGGCTTGATTCAAGCTCACCAGATCATTTTTTACCAAGAGACAATCAAAGCTTGAAGACACTGGAAGAGAAGAACCTTCTTGAACTACTGGGCCAATATCCAGCATCATTATATGCTTGAACTAATTTATATATATATATATTTATATACACACACACACATATATATATATATGCACATATATATACACACACCCCCAAAAAAATCTCTTTCAATTTTTTTGACTCTAAACAGCTTTGAAAGACTTCAGCTACCCTTAAAAAAAAAAAAAAATCAATTTAATTATATTACTTGTCAAATCTGACTCTAATGAAATGTGTACAGCAATTTTGAGAGACTCTGTCTAGGCTATGTGCCACATAAAGATAAATGCCAATTCCTATGCAAGAGCCTTTTATTTTCATTTACCTTTGCAAGTGAGCTCTGACTAGCCCCAAATTCTTCCAGAATTACACATTTATTGGTCAGGTTACAAAGTTAATGTTCTACTATGATGTACTCAAAGAATACACTTCCAGACCTCTAAGAAACTTAATTGTCCAAGAAAACATGATCAGGAACTTGCCTAGGTTATTTTATCTGCCTAATATTAAGTCCAAAGTATTTCTGACACTTCAGTCCAATTTCCACTAGATTAACAAAAAAAAAAAAGTCTATTTACTTCTTGGATTGAAACCACAGGCACCAGGAGAGAACAAGAGTTTATATGTTTATGTTTAGCTGACTTCAAGATAGGCTGTATTGTTGCCTGAATAGGAGGAAACATTTGCTCAGCTTACCAAGTTGCAACCCAACTTCCTAGAAAAGCTAACTGTAAACACTCAGAGGCAGCAGACCTTTGTAAGATGTTTTTGAAACTTACTTGGGCTTTTTGTTTAAGAACAGTTGTAGGCTGTGCTTCAGGATCCAGGATAGATATTATTTCATTGACTTTTTCAAGAGATTCATAAAAATGTGTGATTTGTTTCTCCAGTTCTTCCAGTGGAGACAGCAGATGCTGGCATTCATACAGCAGGGCACAGGAGTACTCCTTAACCTTTTGGTCATTTTAAAGAAAAATATCTATTAAAAAATTTAATAAATAGCAGCTTCCTCTGCATGTGCATTTACATAGTTGCTACCTGCCTCTTAAGATAGGTCAATCCTGATCCTGTATTACTTAAAGAAAAAGATACTAAATTTAAGCATGGTAGTCTCAAAGTCTAAAAGAAGAAACATTTTCTCCTGAAACAATCTATTGCTACTATAATTATATATTCACTCCAATGTATATATCTGAGCACTTAGGTAGGGAAGCTTACTATTTATTACTTCAGGACTCAACAACATGTAGTAGAAAAAGTATTCTGTAACCTTGCTCAGCTGCTCTTTGATCCTTGTCAGAGTTCCAAGCATTTCATTCACTTCCTCTTGAGAAACTTCTTTTGTAACAAGTTGTGCTGTTCTGGTAACTGCTTTGTACTGAGCTTCCATTGCAGGCAATTTCTGCTTTATATTCTGAAACAAATGTTTCACAAATATTTCACCAACAGCATTTATGCTTTCATGGAACATACAAGTCTATTCTCAATGATATACAGTCCAATTATCAATAGTTTTTATCACTGATTTTAGTGAATACTGGATCATGTTTCAAATGCCTTAAAACACTGCTGAAGGGTATCAGTCAGCTCACCTAGCTGTGATTTGAAACTACACAGAAAGAAATATGCAGCGAGAAAGTGTTTTGGAAATGTGCTCTAGAAATGTCACTCATAAAATACAATGATTTATATTAGCTATAGCAGAAATTATACCAAAAAAAGACATCACTGGTTAAAAAAAAAAAAAAAAAAAGTAATAAAGGAGAAGTATACTAAAATAATTCTATGTTCTCAGATTTAAAAAGTTACTTGTGAAGGAGAAAGAAAGGAATGGAAGGAAGACACTTACTTCTAAGTCCTGTGCAAATGTTTTGACATCAAGGAAGGACACTTCTACAGGGACTGAAAGTTTCCTATTGCTTCCATCAATAAAAGCCGTCAAATGGGCAACACCATCCAAATATTCCTTCCTCATTTTGTCCAGTTCATCTGCTCGAGCATACTAGGAAAATGTAAAGTAAAAAGAAACAAACAAAACAATAACCACCCCACATGAGATATCTGGCAATTAAGTAATTACTTCTGAGAATGAGCCTATTTTCAGTGCAATTGTTTGCTGGAAAAACTGCATTCAATGAACTACAAAATAATGGAAACTTATCTTCTAAATTAATTAGACACTAATAGTTTGTATTAATTTCAGTAATGCTGGTACTAAAAAGAACAAGAGGTCAGCCTTTTTGAAGATTTAGATCATTTGGAGAATGTCAGATGCTCATTTGTTTCAAACCTAGAATCAACATCTTCATTTCTCATTACAGGTTCAATTTTGAAAATTCAGCAAAGAGAATAGAACATGAAAAGCCTAGAAAAGCTGAAGCATAAGGGAAATTTCAATAAAGGAACTTCTGGCTGGAGGAAGGGGAAACACAGGTCTTAGAAAGTGGAAAAAGCTGTACGACTGAAGTGGTGCAAAGCCAGTGAGAAAAAACATATAGCCAGCACATGAAAGAAGCTGCATAAGTAAGGGAAAATACATTTACATCCTGGGCATTACTGTTTCCACAGTGAATCACTCTAAATACTAGCAACAAATAAGGCTTGAGAACATTCTAGTCAACAGTTTTGAAAAGTTACAGTAAAAAAGGGGCAATCATTATTTGCTTCTCCATTTAACTTGACTGCAATGGAATAATTATGCCAGTAAAGAAAATAGATTCAGCATCTTCAAGCTGTCATCTTCTATTTAAAATCACTGGAAGCGGAAAATATCATTAGATGTGTATTGACGATAGCAAATATATTTTCTAATGTGTTTATGAAGTGTGAGATACTTAGGTGTAATTTAGCTCACATCATCTCTTTGCTTTTACAAGAACAAATATGGAAACACCAGTTCTTTTCCAATTAGTTGAATCTCTTCCATGAGATAAGGGGTAGTTTTTTTCTCTTACTACCAGTACCTCCTTGTGCACAAGACGGAAGTAATATCTGACTGATTTGGGGAAAACATTTAGTTAATTAACTTGCATTGCACCTGCTTATCATTGTAGTACAATAATTGAATGCACCTTTAATTAAAGAGTAGTAAAAATATACACTATTTTTACTGTTAATTTTACAGAGCTTTTACAATAACTATAGCTACTTAAAACCAATCATTTTCTTCAAAGAGCAGTAGAGGATATGCAAAAATAATATTCACTGTATCAAGACAGGAGATCATAAAGAAAAACTACAGCTTATACAAGCTGAAAATGCCAAAAATAAAAATAAAAGGCTGTATAACCAAAAAGATAAACAAAGGAAAAGCCCCAGTAAAATAAACTGCTGTCAGGGATTAATTTCATATTTAAATAACGATGGACAGTTATGCACTTGAGCAAGTTGTGCTCTAGTCCTGACAGTGGGGTAAATCTGTCTTGCTTGCATGGAAATGACAAAGTAAAATATTTAAAAGCAACAACAATAAAATCACATACCTGCTTAACTTGCATAAACAATTCTCTCCATCTTCCATTTAGTAACAGAAGTTGCTGTTTAAGGTCTCTGGAAATGGTCTCATCACATGTTTCAATCAGGAAATTGCCAGCATCATTCATGGCTGTGTGCTGTTGGATCCAATGAGGTAAATGCCGGAAGAAGTCCTGAAGAAGAAAATAAAAAGACCCTTCTGAAACCTTTTGAATTAGTTTTTATCTTAAATCATGAAACTAAAACTTAATCATTGCTTAACTGCTTAATAAAACTCTTTGAACAATTATCCTTTGAAGCTCTTAATTTTGGATATGCCATAATAGAATTTTAATGTCTGAACATAATCTATTGAATTAAAAATTACCACCAGTTTACTTACAGTTCATTTTATTCCAATATGGAGCTTCAGTTACACTAATGCAACTCCTCCTTAAAAGAAAGCTTAGTTTTTGTCTGAAAACACTTTTAGGGCTCATCTAATTTCTGTCTTGTCTTGAGACAGTATGGGCTAATAGTAACCTGGGCCATATACAAACTGTAGAGAGATTCTTCCCCTACTGGGAATCATACGCAGCTTCCCAGGGTCTGGCATCTCATAAGACCTGAGAAGACTGATTCTTTATCACTGCTTCCTCCTATCTCAGTAGGTGAGTGAGGAGAGGAAAAGGGTAGTTATAATCGATCCCCTCCGCCCTCTACCCCCCCATTTCAGTGAGGCAGCCTAAATAGCCCAATCATAGTGCCAAATGATTCTGTGCATCCTGTAGGCAAGTACACACATAAACTCTTAGGGAAAACAAAGACCAGCTCCTTCTCTTCCTTTTTGCTCTTCAAGAGGATGGGCAGTTGTTCCTAAGGCAGGTATCTCCAGGCACTATGACTGCAGCTACACCAGTAAACAAAACAGGACTCACTGTCTCCTGATTGTTCACATCATCTATGACAAGATTTTGGCTTGTCCCTGCTACCCTTCTACCAAACAACACATGATTCAATGGATAGCACATGGCAAGGACTGTTCCTGATAGACTGAGTCATGAGACCTCCTTCTTTCAGTGGAGGAGCAGCTGCCACAAGGGTGCAAACTGATACTGTGCCACTGGGTCCTCAGGACTAAGGAAGGGGCACTGACCTGTTTTATTTGTTACTGTTGACCTACCCTATAATTCTAAGACTAGATTCCTCTGACAGTGACAGTCCCATGCAATCCTTTGCTCAGGGTAAGATGTGAAAAACTCTTGTCCAACTGAATTGTCAGCCATCCCAAGTTTCAGAGCTATGGTTCTGAAACTTTATAGTTGTCAGAACTCATCCACACGTAAAACCAGTTCTGACACAATCAAAAAAAAAAAATGTCAAATGGATGTCTATTGGTCAAATTTGTTGAAGATAGAATTAAAAAACATGCAGTGTTCAAAATAAGCTTTCTGAAAATCAAAACCAATGAGAAAACCAAAGAGGCCAATATCTTTTGCAGAAAGAACTTGCTGGTTTTGAAATCACACTACCATGGTCTTCACCTAGGACAAAATATGATGGGTTCTATTAATGTAGGTGAGATTTGTCAATGACCATTAATGAAATCTTTGTATCAAATTACAGATATATTTGTGGTTTTACAGAACAAATGTTCAGAAATTTTTAAAAAACTTCTATGCCATATTCCAAGCAATAGTTATCATCTTTCACCTGGGATTCCAGGTGTCTGTGATGTTAGCTGTATGACTATTCATTGTAAAAACCAATATAAGTATTGCTTTTGATTTTAATAACCAGACATTAAATCTGCTAAATCAGAACTGTCCTTGGAACTATCTAACTGAACATTATTGCTGTGGAGTGCTAAATTCAACATTAATAGTAAAAGTAACTTTAAAAATATGTATCTCAATCTACAGGCAGATTATGTTCTCAGTAATCTTTAACAGCTTTGAGCTGCTGTAATTTGAAGAAGGAATTAGCATTTTGGGTAGAATAATGCTTTCATGTCCAAGGTTCTCAACAAGGCATCATATATCAGAACGGTAAGACATGTTGGATTTAGGTTAGGAATCAGAAGCAAATATATACTATATGGATATGTTCAGTTTTCTGCTTTGAAGATCTTTGAAGATAAAGTTATAAAACTGATCAGAGAAGTAAATATTTTTATTTTATTCATATATATGGATATAAGAATATTTCATTTTTAACACTGCCAAGTTACTTACCTAAAACATACACAAGGAGCTAAGATCAACTTGATTAGTTGAGGTCATCCTTCCTGCTCAGTAATAGTAACTGTTGGTATTTATATTATGCCAGATTATTGAATCCTTTTCACAGGTTTGTTTTTATTTTAAAAGTATATTCCATTCTTTTACATCAATTTAAATTAATAAACTTTTACCAAAAACTATACTATTCCATCATGTAACACGAAATGCCCATTGCTGACCTGATGCCATTTTGACCTATGAAAACCATACTCTGGGGTTAAGAGCTGCTGTATAGCTGCTATGTTGGGACTGGGTGAAGATGTAGCACCTATTAAATGTAGATTTATTCAAGTCAGTTTGGGTCATTATTCAAGTTTCACAAACATAAATCTTAGTGCTTCAGGACTCTAATATTAGAAAAATAATTAAAAAAAAAAGCAAAACTATCTTTCTGAGACACAGTTCCTCTTAGGGACCTGTAAAGACACCAGGGAAATCAATCTATTACTTACCCATCAAACAAGACAACACATATTAAGAATGTTGTCTTGTGAAGGCAACTAATACTGAAATCTGTCTTCTATATGTTTGAAAAATGAATTGAAAAAATAATTTTCTTTAAGTGTCTTTACATGCATTACATGCCTATGGACTTTGGTGTTGAGCTGTATTTGCCTTTGAGTGTGTCATGTAACATTTCTAATTCTGAGCAATAGGGCTGCCCTGTACTCATGTCAAAAATGCCTCTAACCATGTTAGCACAGGTGATGCCTTCCGTCCTTGCATGTCTTGTATGTCTGTACAAGCTATATGCAAACACTGAAACTTACGATGAATGTAGACAGTATGCCAGAAACCGAAGAAAATCTCCCTCTTGTATGCCATTTTGTAAAACAACCTAAGCAAGTGCAAAAACATACCCCACATTTCATAATTTACAGAATAGCAAGATACATATTCTATCAGTGCATACCTTTTTAGTGTGTTCAGGCTGATTCAGCATTTTTTCAGCATCTTCCAGCCAAGCTTGTAGACCTGCCACAGTGCTGCTATATCTGTCCCAATTAGCAATTACTTCTTCCAACATGCTTCTTACACTTCTCACCTCTACCGAGAGGTTCCTCCACTGTGCTGTTGTTTCATTCATGAATTTCGTCACATTCTCCACTTCTTCCACTGAGATACAGAAAAGAGATTGATCATTTTTGTTCATTTTTATTATTTCTGTAAAGCTTAATTTTATGTAATGATTATCAATAGTTATCAGGGAATTATAGTTTACTGCAACTTCTAGTTCAGTAAGCTTATATGTACATAAGCTCAGTTCACAGAACAATTTTAGTGCAAAATTAATGACTGAGAAATTAAAACTCTAAAATAAAGACTAAGGAAAATATATAAGTGCTATATTAAAACAGTCACACTGTGTATTCAGTGTGGTGTTCATTTCTAATCTGTAATTAAAGAAATCGAAGAGACAGTTTCCTTAAAAAAGCAGAAAATAGAGATATATAATGTACAAACACATACTATGTCTGCACCGAAAAGCACAGAATGAAATTCTGATCTTCCTTCCACTGACTTTAAAACCAAACTGCTGCTAACTTTTGCCATTTAATTTTTAGTATTTTCGTCACAGCAAGAAACGATCAAGCGTGTCCTCATTCCAGAAGAAAAAAAAAAAAAAAAAAGAGAGAAGAAAAAGGACCCAAGCATATTCTGAGATTTCATAAAGTAAGCAGAACATAGAAAATTTGGAAAACATTTTCTAGCTGAAGTGTCCTTTAATATGCACTGCTCTTTCTGAATTCATATAAGTGAGTAGCTCCCCTTTAGAAAAGAATATGTTATTGGATTTTTTTAGTAGACTTAAATAAATCTATTGATTTTATTCTTTGTAATAATACGTTGTAAAAAATATTTACTTTTGTAAAATTGGAGTGTCACCAACTTCAACTTAAATCTCACACCAAAAAAATATATTCATTTTCTCTCCACATCTGCTAACCACTTTAGCAGCTGCTGCAATCCTCCATGGACATTATTATGTTATCTCCTCAGCAGAGATCAAAGTGATCGCATGTCTGTGACTATCTAGGTCAAATATTGCCCTCACGCATTCTCGCTGAACTCAGCAGTGTCCAGGAATTACAGGAGGCAGTTGTTGAATCAGCTACACTTTTTTCTCATGTATATCTAGACTTCAACTGCCATTTGGGTTCCTCTAACAGGTTTTCAGAGTTAGCGAAGAATGTTCAGTAAGTCAGGGGATACTCCTGCTACCACAACAATACTGGGACCAACTCTCTTATTTGTCTTCTTCTAGTCAAGGAAGTCGAGCCAGAGAACATTTCAGGCATGAGAACATGATCTTCCTTACTCTTAGTTTGGTCTCTGGCACACTTTTGACCCAAATGAACAACACTCAAACAATCCAGAAGTTAGTCTGGACCATGGGCTTCTCCCATTAGGAATTTTAAACATCACCACCCTCTTCTGGAGATTAAGGAATCTTAACAGCAGGAGAGTGGGCTGCACTGTACCAGATGGATAAAGAATATGTGAAATTGCTACCAGAGGCTGTAGGCTCTCTGGTGAACCACAGCTGCTGTGCAGCTCAGCTGCATGGAAGAAACATATATTAGGAGATCGTATTAGAGGATACTTATGCCTAAAGAGATTAATAAAATGGTGCCCCCATGAGAAAAGGCGTGGCAAACTAGGCATATACCTGAGCCATTTGCTTTGGCGTACACTTCAGCTGACCTTTTCAAGATCTGGTAAGTAACTTCATACTGCTCAAAGAACTTACTATTTTCAATAACAGCCTGAAAAGAAAAAAAAATATACAATGAACAAAATAGAGATAGATATTAAGAATAAGGATAATTTCCATAAAATTAGATCAGGACAACTTTTTGATGACAGCTTTTAACTTCAATATTCCTCAATTAATTTGTTTCATCGCTGTAAAATAATATTTGAATTGTCATCATTACAAAGCAACATATAAACCTCACCTTTTCAAATTAATGGCACAACAGTCTCCTTTTACAAACACTTGGCATGTGGAAAGATTAAATATGTTCTTAGTCTGTTAGTTGCTGACTTGCTGAAAGTCACTACTATATGATACTTGGAACGTGCAAAAACTGTGCAGTTAAAAGTTATTTAGTGGAAACTGGTTTACACTGAAATCTAAGTGGAATCATTTTAATAAAGGAGAAAATTTCATCCATATAGGTCACCACAAAAATAAAATCCAGTTAGACTTTAAAAACTGTTCCTGTATTAAAGCTTTTGCAGAAAGGCAGGTTTCACATTAAGAGATGAAAAACATTTGATTTAACCTTCATCTTTCCTTTACCTCTTTTGTAATAGGTAAAAAAAGATTAAGGAAACACTGCACAAAGACACGCTGTTTTTCCTGAGTGTAACACAGCGCTTTTCCTTTGTGAGTGATGTTTTAGTTGTGTAAATATTTATCTGTAAATATTTTGGTCACAAAGTTACGGCTTGTTATCATTTATGCCTCTTTATCCCTTATGGCAAATTACATTGACTTTTTTTTTTACATGTCTTTCAGAAATGTTACTTTAAGTCTTTTATATAATTATATCTCTATATTGTGCAAGCACATTATATATTGCATTACCACTGTTAAAAAGTTAGAAAAACATGCTTTTTTTTTACAGGTCTTTTATATTGCCTTACTTAATGTACTTATCTAGAGTTTTGGAATGTTTTTGTAACTTACACTACCTCCCATGCCTCCGCAGTTACAGATCTACAGAATTAAAGCAAGTACATGTCACATATACCTACACAAGCTTTGGAGTGTTGAGACTGTGCAAAATTCTATGTGTACTAGTGTGATTTTGGTAAAACTGGATTTCAAATGAGGTCAAAGTTCCATGTACTTTGAAGAAGAGAATTAGATTTTGTGTATTCATCAACCCACACTATATAACATGAAGAACAGTTTTACAAATTAATCTGCCAGACAGTATATAAAAATCTTCTGTTTTAAAACCTTTTACAGTTGCTATGTCAAATCACCACAGTTATCTAGTATGTAATTTGGAAATGTGTTTATAACCAAGGAAACTAGAAGTCAAGGACAATCAGAATTTTTCTCTGCTCTTCTGTTAGAAAAGAAATATCTGGCATTTATAAAGAACTACATGCTTTACCATGAATTATGGTGACAGTCTCCTGATTTTCACTTTTACCAAACCCATACACACAGACATTTTACCCTGAACCAAAAACTGGAAGACTTCATATGAGAAAGTAAAAGACTCTATCAAATGATTTATGTAACACTGATCTTACGACCGATTGGAAATATTTCCAAAAATTAAATATACACATTTTACAGATTAATACTGTCTCTCATCTGACAAGATCCCTTAAAGAAAACATGTAGCTTTTCCTGAATCTGTATAGTCTACAGTGCTAAAAAAGTGGTAATATAGCAATGCCAAAACACAGTTTTGTGGGTTAAAATGTACCCAGTATCCTCATTACAGCTGAGATTTTGGTACATTATATTCTTCAGGGTGACGGTGTACAATTTGTGCTGACCTTTACTTTTGGTATATGACAGGTGAAAAGAAGATGGGATAAAGTTACAACCATACCTTTTATTTATAAGCTACAGTACATAAATGTTTTCCAGGCATATGTTCTATTCAGATCCTAACTACGCATGTTCCTAGAATGCTGACATTGCTCAGTCTGTTTTGGCAGACAAACAAACTTACATTTTTATCTCCTACTAATATAGTCACTGACTACAAGTTAGTGACTACAGCTTTCCTACGTAAGACTCCTAATTTACCGTAAGAATAACACTTGGCTCTTGGTTCTAGAAAACTGCTTCCTGGTAAACCAGAGCAAATTAGATCTCTTTCCATCACTGGACACCTGAAAGGAGCCATAAATCAAGGCTATTACGAACAAAACTGAGCTCTATTTATATTCTTGTCCCAGTTTTCTCATTTTGATGTGATGCAGTTTCATAAATGATGCAAAGAAGAATTTTCTTTCCCCTAATGACCATCTCAGCATTAGTGGTCTGAAGAAGGAGAATAAATGAGGAAATCGCAAAAGAACATACAAATTCACCAGTTGCAGTTCATTTTAAAGCAAAAAATAAGAAAATGATCCAACATACTTAGCCAAAAGTCGTTATACGCTTCCTCATTCTTTCCCTTGTCAACCTTTAGTAGCTTTTGCGGCAGTCTTAAGGAATATACAAATGGACTACAACTCCACAGCTACTGCACATTTCTCTACCAAACTTATTTTAAATAGCCTTCTGAATTTTGCAAAGCTTGTCTAAACCAAGGCTTGACTCCTAAAATTTTGGGTGTCCCTAACTGCTAAAGTTTAAACACAGATAGGGAAAAGGGTGAACAGGTCTTGAACTCTCACTTTGAAGAGGAACTTTACTGAGTTTTAAAATTTTTTTCAAAAGCAATAAAAACTATCAGGCTGTAGGGGCATCAATCACTTTCTCTACACAGTGTCCTGGTTCTGAATGGTTCGATAACTGTATGAATTTCTTCCAAACTGAATTTTCCTGTGAAATTTTTCTCGTATAGATTAGATAGAAGGGGATAAAAACTTTTAGCTCAGCCCTGCTCTTGAAAGAATCCCTCACACTCTCAATGCAGAAGTGGAGCAGCGGTACAATTCTATCAGCCACTTGGCACTGCAAGTGTAGATTTAACAAGATTCAGCATCATAAGACTGAAAGGGAAGATATCAATGAGAATCCCTCACACTCTCAATGCAGAAGTGGAGCAGCGGTACAATTCTATCAGCCACTTGGCACTGCAAGTGTAGATTTAACAAGATTCAGCATCATAAAGGGAAGGTATCAATGAACATTTGTAAGTCAATAGCCTCTGTTTCTTAACAAGATATATGGATGATGCAGAGCTGGAGCAATCTCTTTCCAGAACAGAAATAAAGCAATGGGTTTAATATACTAATGCTGAGCAGCAGAAGAAAAAACATTCTTTAAAAGAATAACTCCCCTATCAGTGCAGTATATTGAAGAAGTACACAGAGACAGCATAACTTCTTTGGTTTTGATTAATTTGGAAGACTTTTTTTTAAAGTACTGAGGGGACTGCATACCAAAACACTCCTCTATCTCTACACTCAATCTGTGTATAGTCACTATAAAATGCATCTATGCAGTTGTTAAAAAAAGAAATTAAGTCCTTTGGAATTGCTATCTAGTAAAAATTTAGGATTTAGAACCTCCAGATATGCTTAGTAAGTTGATGGTCGGACAGTTAGCAGCTGGGACATTATTTCTCTTTTTGACGAGATGGTGCAAAGAGAAAAATTTTCAATTTTAGCCTTTTGACTAAAGTTCCTCCATGTGGAAGACAGATTCACCTCTGAAAAGCTATTCCATAAGAATGTGGTCATAAAGTTCATGACTGGCAAGCCTAATTTCTGTGTTTGTTATTTTTTTAATTTCCGCAATCTTAAATGTGAATATTTTGAAAATAATTATAAAAAGAAAACAATCCCAACTTACAATATAATTTTGAAGAAGTAGTTCCACTGACTCTCGCCTTCCATATTTGATAATCCAGGATTTTAACTTTGATTCTGCAAGGACTAAGAGTGACAGTAGACGGTACTTCAATTCCAGAAACTCCATCTTCAACAGATGGAGCTCAGATGAAGAGACAACAAAATTAAACCTATAAAATGAATCACACTTTAGTAAAATATGGCAATATTCATTTTTGCAAAAAAGACTGAAAGCTTTAGTTACAGTTCAGATATTTTTGTAATCTTTCAGCTAATTCAGAGTCTACAAACATTTAATTATGCATGGTGATCATTCTGATGACTGCTGCTGAATAGCAAATTAATTACATTTCTCTTTATTCATAGAAATCATCATTTTACATCTGTTACTAAGTTTTGCAAAGTCATTTTTCTTTTCTTTTATCGCATGCATCCTGGCTGTTGTTACATAACATTTCTTCCAGGGACAAGTAATAACAGGATCAATGTTAAAAAGTATTCCCTTCCAAAACCTTAAGCTTATTTTGATTCTCATCAATCTTCAAAGCATCAGGCTTTTTGGTACATTTTAATGTATATTCTAGGAGGTTTTTTCTCCAAATATTTTCATGCTTGCCACTGAGAAACACAATTAGACTGTGATTTCTACATGAAGAGGTTAAAAAGCATACAGGTTCCCTTTCATTCACTGAGGGTTTTTATTTCAGATTGGAAGCCTTACCTCTCTGCCATATCTTCTAATTGGTCAGGCGGAACAGGCACTCCGTTAACAGACCTGGCCCCGTGGATCTCATGGAATGCCTTTTTGTGACCATCTATGTTTTTCAGCAGATCCTGATTTGATTTTAAGAAAGAGAGATTGAGAGAGTGGGGGGGGCGGAGGGACGGGGAGG